ACACACACACACACACACACACACACAAACCGCCACAAGACTACGTCCACTCACATGTTCCTGGTGTTGGGTCGACTCGGCCTGTATGTCTTCTTTCTGTAATCCAGCGACATACTGTCTGCCTGTCAGTGTGTACACTCTTTTTTGTTTGTCTGTTGACTAGAAATGACGAACACCGTTTCAAAGTCTTCCACGAGCAATCATTTCGCCATGAAGAAAAAGGTTTATTTTCCTACACAGATTCCAGATCAGAATTACTTGTGCAGTAGTTTCAGTCACATATATTTAGTGAACTGTACACGGGTATATTTACAATTTTCAGATGAAAGATGAAACAATTCAGCTTGTTACATAACTCTGAAACACAGAAATAATTAATATAAAAGCTATAACTTTCTTTTTGACGTTTCTTCTTTTTATTTCGGTGAAATAAAGAAAGAGAATCACTTGGTGTTGAGACTGAATTTTGCCTACATTTAGACTGGGAAGTGTCGGAATGAGACCTTATAGACACGCTCCAGAGATATATACCATCTTGACGTGAAGCATACGTTTAAATCACGATCTATGGTCCCAACCGAAGTTAAAATCTCAAGAAGTTATCTACAATAGGGAAAGACTCAGCGGGCTTCGATCTGTCCCTTCAAGCAAGCACAGATCCCGATCTCATAGGTCCAGTCTGGGTTGGCACTTAGCAGCCCGACGGTGGCACAAATCCCCCCTCGTCTTTGACCCCCCCTCCCCCACCCCCAACCTCTACCCAACACACATACATACAGAGACACACACGGCGTCCACTTTTGTGAGCCGAGCGACCCCGGTCGGTTCTGGCAGCTGTTGGAACTCCCGCGCTAACCAGGCGTGGCGTGGACGCAAGCAAGATCTATTAAGTTCTTAGCTTGTGTTGAGTCGTCAGAGTCAGGGTAAGGTATTTGACCACCACCTCAATTACTTGAAGTTTATAGGCTTTCTTACATCTAAGAAAGCCTAACTCGAAGCTCATCAACGCAGTGAGGTTTATATTATTATTGTGTAGGGAGGACGCAAGAGAAGAAGAGTTATAATAATATTATGTAATTACAACATGATTAAGATGATTCGGGAAGTGGACTGATTTGAATGAGACGGATACATAAAACGTCCCAGCAAAGAGAGAGAGAGAGAGAGAGA